CACACACGCACATGCACAGACACACACATACACACACACACACACACACAGACATACACACACGCACATGCACAGACACACACACACATGCACAGACACACACATACACACAGACACACACAGACACGCATACACACAGACACACAAACACACACAGACACACACAGACACACGCAGACACACATACACACACAGACACACATATACACAGACACACACATACACACAAACACACACACACACACACACACACACACAGACACGCATATACACACAGACACACACAGACACGCACACAGATATACACACAAACACACACAGACACACACACAGATATACACACAAACACACACACATACACACACATATACACACAGACACACACATACACACACAAACACACACATATACACACACAGATATACACACAATCACACACACAGATATACACACAAACACACACACACACACAGACACACACATATACACACACAGATATACACACAAACACACACACACACAAACACACACACACACACACACACACACAAACACACACACACACATACACACAAACACACACACGCACACACACAGACACACACAAACACACACATATACACACACAGATATACACACAAATTCTAATCCCAACATGACCACCATAACCACTACCCAGCCCTAACCTTAACCAAAAGTAACCAGGAGACTTTTGGAATTTTTAGTTTTTGATTGCAGTCACAGATTTTTATAAAACTCATGTTTTTATTTTGAGCACCTGAAAAATGTACCCACAAGCTAAAATGTAACACGTTCTACCACATTGTGGGGACAACTGGTCACCACAGTTTGGTAAATGCAAACCCGCACACATACATAGATAGACAAACAAACAAAGGTATGTCTAACTCTAGACACTTCTTATGTGTGGATCCTTAATGGTGGACCAAGCCACCCATCCACATCCGGTCATCATAATCCCTCTCAGTCTTCATGAAACACCCACCTGTTCCAGGAACATCTAAACCAGCCCTTTAATGACTCACCTGTTTTGTCTTCATGCATGACCCCATAGCTGCTGCTTTTCTATCCTGCATCCTCTTATTTTGTCATCTGTCTTTGACTGAATAGCCTCTCATTAGGTTCTTGCTGTGTAAAGACACTAATCCTCTGTATCTGTTAAGAACTTTTTCAATAAAGTGGGTAACACTCCTGAGTGAGAAATTATAATGAATGTATAATGAATGTAGCCTTGGTTGGAAGGAGTTTTAAAATAGTGTGTGCGGCGTGTGTCTCCATTGGCAGTGAAGAGGAGCTGAAGTACTCTCTCCAGATCCTAACGGAGCTGGAGATGCACATCAGAGGAACCGGAGCCAACCCCTTCGCCTCCCTGAAGCCAGAGCAGGTCCAGGCCTGTCCCAACAAGACTCCAGTCTTCTGCAACGCACACTACCTCTACTTCCAGGGCCTGCTGGAGCAGGACGACGAGGAGCTGGAGGAGGACTGAGCAGTAACCAGTGTAACGCATGTCCTCGGTGAGAAGGCACCTGTTAAAAGATGCTAAATGATCACAACAAATTAAGATGGACAATCTCATCAGATGAGGGATATCACTTATGATTATTACATGTGAGAGACATAAATGGAATTACAAATGAATGCACTGAAATTATTCCAAAACATCCAAGTGGAAGTGCTTATCTTTCTATGCATGTGCTGTTTTCCAGCGGGGGGGGTGCTGGCATCAGGAATGTGTTGTGGTGAAGTGAAAATAATTTCAGGGTACAGTATCGGCTGTAGGGAAGCTTTTTTGTTTTTATATGAAGTGTGCATGTGTAAAGTTTGATCTTTCTGTCGATTTTATAGGCCCTGGAATGCTCAAAGTTCTTTCTGCATGTCTGCTAATTGCCAAGCTGAGTGGGGGCATCGCAATATCATAGGTCATACAAGCGATAATAAAGGCCTGTTTTACATGCTACGATAAGCCCCTTTGTGCTTTTGCACTGTAAATGAATATCTGATTATTTCGTCTGTGACTGAATAGTTTTGACTGTGGTCCAAAAATGTATAAATGCACTGTTGAAAATACTTACAGACATTGGAGTGAATCTGCTGAAAATTACAAGTTATTAAGTATAAATTAAAGCAGCAGCACTAAATAAAGATCTGTGTATAATAATATGAATTACAGGTGTTGGTAGTAGAGGATCGCTGATCTGAACTAGGCCTAATGCCCTGAGCCCATTGCAGTGCCAGTTTGAATATTTATTATTAATTACTGGAGTATTTGCAGGTTCTGTCTAGGGTTTCTTTTTAAACCTGTAGCTATGGTAAGCTATTGGGTAATTCTGCACTTGGACATCAAGGAGGTCGTAATTGTACTGTAGGCAAATAGATCCTTGTGTAGCAGACTCAGGCAGAAATGGCTTCACAAGGTATTTCCCACGCTCCATGAAATATCACAGAAGTGGCATTCTTGATGGAACCTTTTCCATATCAAATAATGTCCTTTCACTGTGACCACAAATATTTCTTGTCATCAGAATCGTCATTTGTTAATTTTTTTTTTTAGAATAAAATATCTACTATTTCATAGCAACTATACGTACTAAAATAGCTACTGTTACATGTGGCGTGCATTACTTGAGCTGGTTGTAATGGATGAAAACTCTCCAGGTTCTTAGGACTCTGTTGCCGTGGCGATGGTGTGGCATCATACTGCTCTGATTGCTTAGTAACCATTGGGCCCAGCTGAGCTAATCAGCAGCTGAGTTTATGCACTTCACATTTTAGCTCTCATTCTGCAGGCATGGGAACAAAGGTTCCCAGTACATTCCATTACCATTGTATAGGTCTCAGGGTGTATATGATCAAGAGGTGCATTGTTCCCATCCTGGCTCAACACACTGCCTCTTTCAGTGATGGTAATGATCTCCAGCAGGGTCAATATGCCCATGCATGCGATGCAGTCCCTCTGACAGCAGCATGCCTTGCACATTAAAACAAGTGATAAAAATCTGTTAACAGTGTTTACACACAATATGGAAACAGTCGGCATTGTGAAGGAGAACTTATGCAAGGGGAATTGCCAAACAGGTTATAGAAGGACCATTTTCTTGAATGTTGGGTGTGATGTCAGTGAATTGTCAGAGCAAGATAGTGGCCAACACTCAAAAAGACGCACAGAATGTGCAGAATGTATAAGAATAAAACCCATAGACATGCTGATAATAGTCTGTCCTGATGCTATTAATGTTAATGTTAAGGACTGGATCACCCTTAAAGAGTTGAATAATGGTATTAATCAAGGTCATAAATAAAGATAAGATATGATTATTTCAATTACATATAGTTTCTTATATAATTACATAAGAAATATTCTGAATAAATGAATGTTAGTATACTCTCTTTTAGTGTTCATTAGTGACGTCTGTGAAAATTGGTTTCAATTGTGCAGGAAATGTTTTGGTGAAAATCAATCTGATAAAATAAGGTTAGGCTGTTTGTAAGTGTGTATGTGTGTTTGCAGGGGCAAGTCTACATGACATTTTGGGGAACAAATGCCCCCACAATGTGATAAAAATCTGTTATTTTGACCATATGGGGACATATTTCCAGTCTCCACAAGGGAAAAACTGAATTTTATAAAAACCTGGGAGTGCAATCACAGAAACTAAGATAGCCATTTTGTATTTTGTTTGGTTACTTACGGTTAATGTTGTCATTGCTGGGATTAGGGATTTTCCCATAGAAACGAATGGACAGTCCCCAAAAAACATGAATACAAACATCTGTGTGTGTGTTTATGTGTGTGCTAGAGGGAGGGAGAGAGAGAGGGGGGGGGTGTCAGGGCATAGAATTCCTACCAGTACCCCTGGCTATATTAGTAAGGTATGCAGACGCAGGTAAGAGAAACGTGGTACTGTACAAGGTACAGACTGACAGCCAGTAACATTATTGACCATTTACACTACTGTTCAAAAGCTTGGGGTCACTTAGAAATTTCCTTGTTTTCCATGAAAACATGCATGACATGAGTTTAAATAGGAAATATAGCTAAATAAATAGGAAATAGTCACTGACAAAGTTAGAAATAATTAACAATATAATATAATTTTTGAAATTAAAATAATTGTGTTCTTAAAATTTTGCTTTCGTCAAAGAGTTCTGCATTTGCAGCAATTACTGCCTTGCAGACCTTGGGCATTCTAGATGTCAGTTTGTTGAGATTATCTGATGAAATTTCACCTCCTGCTTCCTGAAGCATCTCCCAGAAGTTGGAATGACTTTATAGGCACTTCTTACGTACCATTCGGTCAAGCTGCTCCCATAACAGCTCAATGGACTTGCTGGATACTCCATTGTACACAGAATACCAGCTGGCTGCTTCCTCCCCAAACAGTCTTTGCATAGTTTGGGGCTGTGTTTGGGTCATTGTCCTGTTGTAAGATGAAATTGGCGCCGTCCACAGGGCATGGCGTTGCAAAATGGAGTGATAGCCTTCCTTCTTCAAGATCCCTGTACAAATCTCCCACTTTACCATCACCAAAGCAGCCCCAGACCATCACATTGCCTCCACCATTATTCACAGATGTCATCAAGCCCTCCTCCAGCGTCTTTTCAATTGATCTGAATCTCACAGACGTTCTTTGTGATCTGAACACCTCAAACTTTGATTCATGTACCCGTTGCAGTTTGTCCAGTGTCTGTGTTCATTTCCCATCTCAGTCTATTCTGTTTATTACCATTCTGAGATCTGGCTTTTTCTTTGCAGCTCTGCCTAGAAGGCCAGCATCACAGAGCTGCCTCTTCACTGTTGACGTTAAGACTGGTCTTTTGCAGGTACTATTTAATGACCTATGAGGCGTCTGTTTCCCAAACTACACACTGTAATATATTTATTCTCTCGCTTAGTTGTGCACCAGGGCCTCCCTCTCCTCTTTCTGTTGTGGTTAGAGCCCGTTTGTGCTGCTCTGTGTAGGGAGTAGTACACAGCATTGTACGAGATGTTCAGTTTCCTGGCAATTTCTCACATGGAATAGCCTTCATTTCTCAGAACAGGAATAGACTGATGAGTTTCAGAAGAAAGTTCTTTGTTTCTGACCATTTTGAGCTTTTTGAGAGTAATCGAACCCACAATTGCTGATGCTCCAGATACTCAACTAACGCAAAAAATGCTAGTTTTATTGCTTCTTTAATCAGCACAGCAATTTTCATCTGTGCTAGCATAATTGCAAAAGGGTTTTCAAATGATTAAAATGATAAACTTGTATTAGCAAACACAACATTCCACTGGAACACAGGACTAATTGTTGCTGATTGTTGCCTCTGTACACCTATGCAGATATTCCATTAAAAACAGCCAGTTCCAGGTGTGATGACATTAACAATGTCTACACAGTATTTCTGATGTTATTTTAAGGTCTGAAACCTTATAAAAAATAATCTGAGACTTTGGAACTCTTAGGGTGCCCAAACTTTTGCAGAGTGCCATAATAATGTTTTTATTTTCTATGCATCAATGTTTCGTGAAAATATTGTGCATTTTTTCCATTTCCTACAGAGACTGTGTTTACATCTTTTCCATAAAAAAATGACCAAAATATGTTATTTATTGAGGGGTGCACAAACCTTTGCATACTACTCTGTGTGTGTGTATATATATATATATACACACACATACCCACAATAAGGTGCTGGTACTGTAAGTTGGTGGGTGAGCAATTTCACAGAGGTAGAGTTTAAGCGGTTTAAATACACAAATACAGCCACGGAAAAAATTGAGACCACTCTATATTTTTAAACCTGCATTTTTAAATCCTGGTTTAATCCTGGTTCTGCTGGCAGAGGCTACACTGAGCAGCAGGCTGCTTCCAGGTTCAAAGTTTCTAAGACAGCAGTACACAAGAATAAGGTGAAGCTGGAGACACTGGGAATGACCAAGAACCAGCCAGGTAGAGGACGGAAGCAATTTTCTGATGCCATAGATGACCATTAACTTATGCAACAGTTTCTCATGAATCGGAGGATGACATCAAGTGACCTTCAAAAGGAATGGGAAACATTAAGCGCAGGTGTGAAGTGCACTGCTAGGATAGTTTGCATCAGGCTCCCATAAAGCAAGGAAGAAGCCCTTTATTAATGAGAAACCGGGAAGAACCAGGCTTCAGTTTGCAAAAAAGTACATATTATTCACAGCCACACACCCATAAATTGAGAAATGAGTGAAACAGAAAATTGTGCTGTGCTCTCTTAATTTTTTACAAGGCTATATATATATTATTCTCTGATTCTATTTTGTGCCTCGCATTCTATTCAATTGTAAGTTTAATTGCATCTGCTGTATTGTCATTGTACTTACAATGACAATACAGCATCTTTATCACAATATAGTAGACCCCATGTATATGCATGACATTTACAGATTGACACATCCGATTACTCACAAAACTACTAGGAAAATTTGCTATTAAAAAACATGGACTTAATGATGCATAAGAAAAGCACTTGTTAAAGGCTGAGACAGAAGAGCAGTGGAGTCAAAATTTTAATCTGTCCAGTCACCTCAGAGGACAGCACTTCCCATAATTGTTGATGCTCCTAATTAAGAGTAATTGCAAGAATCCAATGCAAATTGCCCATTTGGCGAGTCGTTTAGCTTTAGCGGAGTGATTAGGCCTGAACACCTTGTTTATGGGAACATCAGCAAGCATCCCCCAGGACCTGAAACAGCACACTTAGCATCACACATCCATTTCACCCGGTCATTTAGTGTCATTTACTTATCTGCTCATTTACTTCCTACTCTCCAGAGAACCATGCAGTTATATATATGTTTTAAGGGTAAAGGACCTTGTTATATTACAAAGCAGACTGGTATGAGAAATAATAAGGAATGGCATTTATAGTGTGGTGGTGCAGTGGTTAGCATTGCTGCCCCACAACCCAGGGATCTAGATTCAAGTCCCTGTTATGGCTGCATGTGTGTGGAGTTTGCATGTTCTCCCCATGTCATTGTGGGGTGTCCTCTGGGTACTCTGGTCTCCCCTCAGTCTTGCCATAGATATGCATGTGTGTGTCATTGGTATATGTCTGTGAGGGGCTGGTGTCCTGGGTTGTTCCCTGTAGCCACTGGGATAGGCTTGGGAAACGCCCCCCCCCCCGAACCAGACAAGTGGTTACAGAAAGTGGATGAATGATTTACAGGGTGGGTGGGTGGGTGGGAGTGTGTGCATGTCTTGGGTCCTTGAGCTAACCCCCAGCTCCCTGGGTGCTGCTATGGTTTGACATACAGGAAGCAAAATACTTTGAGAGGCTAAATGGGATGTATCTATGGCTAATGATGCATTACTGGGTGAGTCTGTTAAACCTGAATGTCTTATTTTAAGATGTATTTGCATTGCTGTGGTGCTGTGGTGATACTGAAGTTGCAATACTGACCATCTTCGTCGTAGGGGGAGAGAAAATACCACTCCTCTCTGAGCAACCCATTAAAAGCCTGGGGAGGCAGAGCTTTCGAAGAAACAGATGGGAAGAATCGTAATGAAACAGCTCTCAGAAGGTCTGGCAAAGATCGACCAAAGCCAACTTCCGGGGAAGTACAAGGTCTGGTGCTACCAATTTACACTCTACAGGAGGGTGTTGTGGCCGCTGAAAATGAGTGATATCCCCTCATCCACCACAAGTAAAATGGATGGAAAAGCCAACTCGTGCATCAGAAAGTGGTTGGGGCTGCCATGGGGCCTCTCTGAAACAGGCCTCTTTGGAAGGAACACCCTCCAGCTGCCGCTTCAATCCATCAGTTTGGGCTACATGCAGGAAAAGACCAGGCTGGTTCTCGAGTTGAGAGAATCCACTGACCAGACCGTAAGGAATGTGAACACCAAGATTCCGACAGGCTGGACGTGGAACGCACAAACTGAGGTAGACCGAGCCATCAGTCGCCTGCAACATTAGGAGATTGTCGGCAGAGTCCAAGCAGGAAGAGCAGGTCTAGGGTGGGGAGAAGCGCCACGGTTCTGGTCCAAGGCCAACCGCAAAGAGAGGACGGAGATGGTGGTGGCAGCGGTGACAAGGATGGAGGAAGAGCGCTACAAGATCAAGGCCGTGTCGGAGGGCCGACAAGGAAGCTGGACGACCTGGGATGGGGTCATCAACCGAAACATCAGATGGACAGATCTTTGGAAGATCCCGCAGGCAAGGCTCAGCTTAACAGCCGCACAAACACATGACACGCTTCCCTGTCCTTGGAACCTTCACCAGTGGTTCGGGAGCGAGGAATGCTGCACACTCTGCAACACCCCTAATGCAAACCTCCAGCACATCTTGTCAGGTTGTAAGATCACACTCTCCCATGGATGTTATAGATGGCGCCACGACCAGGTCCTAAGGAACTTAGCAGAGGTGCTGGAGAGCCGTCGACAGGGTAGCAAAGGGGAACCACCTGCAGAGAATCACAGCCTCATCAGCTTTGTTGTGGAAGGTGGGGGGAGAAGGAATATTAGGCCAAAGGAAACACCTAGGCCGTTTTCCCCTGACCAGGAGTGGAACATGAGAGTTGACCTCGATAGGCAGCTGTTTCCCAACCGAGATCACTACTACATCTCTCCGCCCTGACATAGTGGCGTGGTCCACCAAAGTGAAATCTGTGCTCCTCATCAAGCTCACGATACCAGCAGAGGAGGGGATCGAGGCTTCCTACGAGCGAAAAAAGGCCAAGTACTCAGAGCTGGCTGCTGAGTACTAGATGGTTGGCTGGATGGATAGACTACCATCTATCCAGTGGAAGTTTGAGGCCGAGGCTATGTAGGGCTGTCAACCACACGCCTTCTGAGGGACATAGGAGTGACCGGAGGGAACCTGAAGAAGGCAACCTGAAGAAGAGCTGGCAGAGGAAGCTGAGAAAGGGAGTTTTTGGCTTTGGCTGAGGAGGAAGGACAAGTGCTGGGAAACAACAACCCCAATAACAGCCGCAGGGGAAACACCTATCAGCTGCAAGGGTGACAGGGAGACGTCAGTTTATCAGTGCACACAGTCATACCTAGGAGCCACAAATGCCAAGCACAGTCAGGTCCACAACGTTAACATACATCACAACAGTGACAGAACACAAGATGTTCTATATGCAGTTGTGGACAGTGCAGTCATCAGGATGAGAGAAGCTTTGGAAGCCATAGATTGGCCAAATGATGGCTGTAGTTATGTACAGCAACACTGTGACAACCAGGAAGATGATCACAAATTTCCTCAGGCAGAGGGGCAGGCAGTTTTTCAGCAATGTGAGGATGTTCACGACGATGATGAACGGGGTAATGGGGAGAACGATATCACGTACACCCAGATGCACCAGTACAAGTCAGGATTTTCAACTTACCCAGTGAGCGAAATGAGGATTATGCAGGTGACAGAGGCCTCCAGGAGCTTAAAACATCTGGCCAGATATTCAGAGAGGTACCTTTGTTAGCCAGTTTGTCTCTCACTGCTTCGATGGAGTACATGATGAAGCTCTGACAGAACATCACAGCAGTGAGCACTGCAAAAAAGCATCTTGAACAAGCAAATAAAGAAAAAAGACAGAGGCAGAAAAAAACTATCATGGGTGACAGTACAGACATCCGAGAGTAAGGTCATCCCCTCCATAATGCTCAGAATCCTCAAGATTAAATTAATCTGAAAGAGTTCAATGATGGTGATAATCAATGTCGTAACAGGACAAAACATGCAGGTGAATATGCACCAAACCCAAAAGGCACAAAACACTGTAGCTCTTTAAAGATAAAAGTGCAATCACGGAGGAATTAATCACAAGGACATGCAGTATCCCTCTTTGTGACGGTGTGAATATAGGGGTATTCATTTGTTCTTTCGAAATGTCAGTAAGTGTCTACTTTTCTTTTCCCTGGGTTCCCTCTCAGCCGTCAAAGCGGAACAAGTGTACGAAACTTGATGAAGGTGTGACTGTTCATACTCAACTGGTTTGTTGGAAAAAAAAAACCTTGGTCTAGATTTGTACTTTCTGGACTTGACCTATCCACCTCTAACTTTAATGGATTACTTTTGTAAGTGACTTCCCCAGCACTGCACAGGGTACACACGCACATATACACACACACTCACACCTAAAACCTGAAATTATTTTTTCAAAAGCACTCAAAGTACGCCAGATAAACTCGAAACAAAACATAACCAGCAGCAGGGCATTTGCTGTAATACCTTCGTAAAATACCAAATTACTTTGTCCTGATTGGTTAGTAACCCAGCGGGCAGTCTGCCCTATCCCAGCCTAGCACTTCCCTGACGCGCCTGCGTCATCGTGAAAACACGGCGCCGCTAAGGCAGCCATCAACTAGGCCACCGAGTGACGAGCTCTTAAAAGGGGGAAAAACGAGGAATATATCAATGACTGACGTGATGTATGGTGTGTTTCATCTACCTTCCGAGGCACTGAGTGATTCTTTCTATTAAAAAAGCAGTAAGGGTGAGAGGGAAAAGCGGAGTCCTTTGAGGCCGCACACATCAGAAAGAGACCTCGGTCTTTCCTTGTGTCGACGGCGGCCTAGAGAGGGAGCAACGCCGGCCGAGTGGAGTGACCATCCCTCACCGAATTAGCTGGCGTAAGGACACCTTCGGGATTGACAGGGGTGAAACGCGGTACTTTCGCTCAGTCAGGTCTAAAAATATAAGTGGGAAAAACCAAAATGTTAACCTTGTTGTTTAGGTGACTGAAGTAGCTTCGTGTTGCTAATTTGGTTCAGATTCAGCCGTGTGCTTGGCTAACATTACCAGCCTTTGCCATGCCAATGGTATTTGTATAACTGTCCACTTTCGGCAGAAGACATTCCACCTAGCGATACCTGTTTAAAGGATACATAAATTACGGTATAAGATCATTATTTTTTATTATGCTGATAAGCTGTAGATGGTGTGTTGCTGATGCCGGTAATACCTGTAATGTTACCTATTCCGAAAAGCCGCGTGTTTTTCGAGTTGATTTGGCTAAAACGGGACACCCATGCTGGTTAGTTGGGTAGCTGGTCATTAATTAATTAATGCAGAACATCAAATAATACGCTCCCAGAAAACCAGCGCGTGGGTTTAACTAGCTGTTTGTATCCGGAAATTGCCGCCCCCTTCGTGGCAAGATCCAAGTTTTTTCCCCCGTAGTCTTTATTTGAATAAAACTTGCAAATCCTGCACTCTGAGGCGCAGTGAGAGTGTTCTACCGATCACGACGCACCAGGGTCGATGTTACCGAGCGAAAACGGAACATTTGTATCCAACTGAGAATCTGACATATCTGCGTTTTTAAAAATTTAATCGATGTTCAACGGTGGCCAGCAATGTCTGTCATAAACAGGATACATACTTGCAAACCAAAGACATCCAGTCCAGATCCCAGTCAGCTGTAATACCCTTCAGTGAGGTCCTTCACCTGTACTGCTTCAGTGGGATATGCTGGAATAAATGGGCAAATTTTTCAGTTGCAGTCTGGTGATGATATTGGGGGGTGTCATTTCAGCAACTATTTGCAATAGTGTTGCATAATACATCAGGCCAGAATATTCCGTCTGTTACCCGTATTTATGTCCTTATTTTCTTGGCTAGGTGTGGTGGCACACGGAGGTGGCAACTACCCAGCCAGAGACACGGGGAGCAGGATAGGGAAGGAAGGTGGAGAGGGTGTCACAGGGCTGGCAGAGAAGATGGCGGGCAGCCCTGAGAAGAGTGCCTCCGCGCAGGAGCTGAAGGAGCAGGGCAACCGGCTCTTCCTCAACCGCAAGTATCAGGAGGCGGCGGTGTGCTACAGCAAAGCCATCGTGAGTACTGACAGTGTGATGGTGTGCGTTGCCCGTCGCACAAAATAAGATACGCTCTCAGATCTGAATATTTATGACTAAAAAGTTAGCTCTCGTCTTCCCCCAGAACCGAAACCCCTCCGTAGCTGTGTACCACACCAACCGGGCTCTGTGCTACGTAAAGCTGCAGCAGCACGACAAAGCACTGGCCGACTGTAAGCACGCGCTGGAGCTGGACAGCCAATCGGTCAAGGCGCACTTCTTCCTGGGCCAGTGTCATCTGGAGCTGGAGAATTACGACGAGGCCATTGGCAACTTGCAGAGAGGTCAGAAAGAGCCCCAGGCAACAGCAAAATGAGCTTAATGTTCCAGCTAAGAAGCGGTGTCACTGCAGGAGTAGCTGTGTGTAAATAAGCTTACATTTTGCTTGAATATATGCTTTTCGTAAAACATTTCACTTCCCACTACATGCTGAACTAAAGTGGCAACTTTTAGGGATGCATTAATTTTTTTTATCTTTAATTATTTTTTTGAGACCAAGTATGAGTACTGATGACTGGTTCCAATGTTATTAGTTTAATAATTAGCAGACTAAAGATTTTTAAAATGCTTCTTTAATGAACTTTCTAGAAGCAAAATATTAAAAAAAAAACTTAAATAAAAATGGCTCTGCATGTGTCGAATTAAGTTGGCTGTTCGAAATGTTTTTGGGGTAGGCCAAGTTCCTCCATGGACAGCTTTCTGTGCATATGTCTTACACAATGCAAATTTTATGTCTTCGTTCCACACTGAAAAGAATCTCCAAACAACAGACATGTTTCCCATAAGTGTTTTACCTTGCCTGTTTTTGGGAGGTGGGAAGGTGAGGGGCGGGGGGACATGACTCTTGCTGGAGACTGATTTGGAAGTAGGGGTAAGGGATATGGCCAGAATGTCATATCACAATATCACATAATCCACATTATAGATCAGTTTTTTTAGAATGTGTGTAATGTCAACAATTTAAGAAGATCAATTACGTTTTTAGTTCAAGATCTAGTGACTAAATTGAGATCAATTGATACAGATAGACAAAGAAGTGGGATATACAGACAGTACTGAGATGTTAAGTTGAAACTCCTTTGTTTCAGGTTGATCTTTTGTTGTACTGTTGCAGTCTTGACAACTTGGCAATATGGCGGAAGGTAGATGGCACATGCAGGATGAGGGTTCAAATAAAGAGTAAATGCATCATTTGTGTGGAAGTACTTCACATTAAAAGTGAATGAGAATGCAGATCTGTCAGTATTGCAACTTCAATATCACCACAGCACCACTGCAATGCAAATACATCTTAAAATAAGACATTCAGGTTTATTGGACTCACCCATAGCCATATATATGTCCCATTTAGCCTCGGAAGTAGCCTAGTCTGTCTTTGTCATCACTTTGGCAGTTTATTTTGTTTATTGGGAATCCTGTATGTCAAAGTAATTGCTGCTAAAACAAAGGTTACCCCTTCACTTAGCCGCATCATTTTGCACAACATGGTATATAATAACCAATTAACATAAATTATTTTTTGTTACCGTATTGTGTGTTTTGAGTAGGGCTGAATGAGATTAGAAAAAGATTGTATTGTGATATTTAGGATTTGAAAATGAACTATATAGTCAAATGCAGAACTTATCTACCTTTAACTTATCTACCAAGAGTCTGTTAAATACCTTGGTGTTGGGGAGAGTTGCGCCAACAGACACAAAGCAGTGCAGACAGATCACTTTTGCTCATTGTCACTATTAAATCCAAAATATTTCCATACAGTGGAATATGGCCTTTTGTGACCAGTTCTTGTCTGTCTTTATCCTCTTCACTGATTTTTTTGCTTAATTTCTCACAAACGGGCCACACAGTCTATGAATCTGTGTAACGGGACAAAACTGATGTGGTTGTCTTGGAGATCGCATCCAGTATTCATGCAAAAGCAGCAGCAAAAGGTACACTTTAGACTGATTTTTTTTTTTTTTTTAAACCAATACTAGATAATTCTGAAAAGGAACTATCACTAAAATTGCAATGCTTGCTAAGTTTGGTTTCCTGAGACTAAGTAAATGTTTTAGCGCAGTTTGTTGATTTGAACCCAGCAGACTCGCGGCCCTTGCAATGTGATGACTGCATGTTAATATCATCATGGTATCATCATGCACATCACACATCATACAAGCCTAGTGGTACAGTATTGGGTAGCACTGTTGCCTCACTGTTTGCATATTCTCCCTGTGTGTGGGTGCCTTTGTGCCGGATCGGCCGATTTCCTTACACTGTCCAAAAACATTAAACTTAAGTGAACCTGAGTGGCTGAATTGACCGTATGTGTGACCAAGTGTACACCCTGCATTGTGTGGGTGCTTCCTGCCTTGCGCCAGTTGCCATATGTTATGTTATATTATATATAAATGATAGCTGAATGAGTCGTCAGATTAATTGCTAGATTACTCGATTATTAATATAATTGATTGTGACAGCCCTAATTGTCTACCACTATCTTGGAACAAAAAGTAATGTTAGATGGTAAACTACTTGATCTGTTCATAAAATGGCCATATTTAGACTGGTTGGCTGATTGCCAGTCAGCACCGATCAGGGCAAAAATCAGCCATTTCCAGTCACTAGCCAATAGTTCGATTCATCCCTAACAATTGTTAACTCCGCTTTTAGTATCAAATACATGGCTCGTAACTTTTTTTTTTTTTTTTTTTTTTTTTTTAAAAAGACGCTTAAATCCAACAGTATTAACGACTGATCTGCAAGAATAATATACTGCATAAGAGGTTCTGTTTTTACTGCCTTTGACATTTTCTCTGTCCGTGCTAATGTTTGCTGCATGGTTGCTGCAAAGTGCTGCTGGTGGTATTTTTGTTGTACTCTTTCTAATGTTTAGTTAATACTTCTTTACTTGGATTACTTGTTTTGTATGAACTTGTTTTCATACCTCCTCTAGATATTTTAGCAGAGCACACTTTGCCATTAGCTATGCTGTGGTTTTTATTAATTTTGAAGTACTTTGAAGTACTTTGAATTACTACGGGCATTTTATGGTCCCATTTATTTTGCTTGTTTATATTAGTGATCGATCAAGTAGTATCGGTTATAGGCTTTGGTGCATTGTCACGAGGATGAGTACAAGTGCATGAGCACTGTATCGGACCCAGTGCTGATACTAGTATCGGTGTTGATGCACTCCTACTGACTTTATCGTAGGTCCCAGAGCTTTAAGAGTTTATAGGGCTTGTGTATCTCATGTTCTGCTTTTCTCCTCTCAGCCTACAACCTGGCGAAAGAGCAGCGTTTGAACTTTGGAGATGACATCCCCAGTGCGCTCAGAATAGCCAAGAAGAAGCGCTGGAACAGCATCGAGGAGAAGCGCATCAGTCAGGAGAACGAGTTGCATGCCTATCTCACCAAACTAATTCTGGCTGAGAAGGAGAGGTGAGCAAGTTCAGCTGCCCGTCCAACTTTCCTTATCCGCCTAATACACTGTTTTGATTTTTAAACTTTTCAGTCTTATTTTTGTCAGTCCGTCTTTAGTAATCTGTCAAGGTTCCAGCTCTATGTTTGAAATATAGGGTGCAATACCAGACATACACACACGAGGGCAGTAAACAACCCTCAGTTTATCTGAACCTCATATCCTTGATTTCTAGGAAGGAAAGTGAGTAAACAGAGGCAGTCTTACCAAGCACACAATAGGCAGTCAAGGCAACAGCAGTACTTGTTAAACCACTGTTCCACATTATTATACAATATAATTATGAACAATATACTTGAATCTGCGCTATGTTTACGTTGGGTTCTTGGCACTGTTGAAGGTGGTTCTACTGAAATCATCTTGAAGCAGACTCATTCTTGGGTTCTTTGCCTTCATAATTTGAGCTTTGTGTTCTGTCATTTAAGCGAGTGCCTGCTCTCACTTATATTCCCCTGTTAATGGAGGGTCATTGCATGTATCCTGTCCCAGGCCTGCAGGCGCTGCCCTAACCGCTGCTCTTTGCCAATTTTCTGAATCCCTGTATTAGGTCTGTAGCTGTAGCCCTAATAGCGGAAACTAAAAACAGCAACTTGGTCTATCTACCTATAAAGTCCCTGGGAAGTTGGTGCATAGAAATATTGTAAACAACCCAAGATTTGTCGTATTCATGATTGTAGTGGTATACCAGCAGTGAAACGAAATTGCTTCAGCTTCAGGCTGTGCAATAAACAAGATAGAAGAGTAACAAAATTAAAATAACTTAAAATAAGTATTAAAAATAGAGAGATATATATGGTACATAAAAGTAAAGAAGTTACAAGAAAATATGAGAAAATATTTTAAGTGCAGGTTGCAGTCATAGCTTATTTTAGTTTTTAATTGGTGGCGTTAATGATCTTAATGGCCTGGGGGTAGAAGCTTCTCCTCAGTGCCTCGGTCGTGGCCATAAGGCTCCGGAGGCGCCTGCCTGAACACAGCTGCTGAAATATTTGATGGCATGGGTGATGAGTGCCTCTAATTAGGCTTGGGCTGTGTCTGTTTTTTTTCTTCCAGGATTTCTAAATACCAGGGTAATACAGTCATATTGCTCAGGCCTACCTCTGATAATATTTAATGCCCTTGATCTACATCACTGGATGTAGCTGTCCTGCAGGGTGGGCAATTCTGCCCTGGTCACTCTCCCAGTGCTCTGTATCGCCCTCTGCAGGGCTCTGTGGTCATCAGAGCTGTAGCTGTCATACTGGGAAATGATGCTTCTAGAAAGCATAGATCCCACATCAGCATTATTGAAGGTTGTTTGCAGATTTTGAATTTCCTCAGCTGCTTCAGATGATAGTCACTTCCTAACAGTTGTGCTAGGGAACTGGGCTCTCTTTTTTTTGTAGCCAGGTTTTAAAATGAGGCGTGACAATGAGCATTAGTGCACATGGCCTGTCAGCCTGCTTTTGTTTTTATCTGGAACCTGTATGCAGTGATGTCACGGAGACCTGATCGCCGTACGGTGTTGTGTGATGTGTGTGTATACGACAGTGTGAGTATGACCGCCCTAGAGTAGACTCCCTGTGCCTCTGCTCTAGGGAATTGGAAGAGTGGCGGAAAAAACAAGACGAGGGCTTGGAAGACGGCAGAAACCGCAGCGAAGTAGCCAAGATCCAGTCCAAACACGTAAGTGGAGCCTGCTGTACCACTCAGATCCTTAGATGCCCAGCGGTAGGTGGAAGGAAACGGCCTTTTCATGAGAACGCAGGCTTGCACTGTGGGGGGTGCGTCTGTGTGTGTGAGATTGTCGTTATTATAAAATCTACACACACATCCAAAGTGTGTTTACCTGAGACCCTCCTCTATGTACCATACGCTGCTGTCAGGATGTCATCGGTATTCACTTCCTCCCGGCGTTTTAGACTGAATGCTAAAATGTCTCTAACACTGGCTGCTCTCCTGGGCAGGACAAATACCTGTCAGACATGGACGAGCTCTTCTCACAGGTGGACGAGAAGAGGAAGGTGAGCATTCGGGTCCGCATGTCCCCCCACCCAGATCTGCTTGCGTGACGCTAAGTGGCCTCGCTGTGTCCCGCTCCGCAGAAACGTGAGATTCCAGACTACTTGTGCGGTAAGATCAGTTTCGAGCTGATGAGGGAGCCGTGCATCACCCCCAGTGGGATCACCTATGACCGCAAAGACATCGAGGAGCATCTACAGGTGAGCAAACGTCCGTCTGTCCTTCCATCACTGATTACCCTGAACCGGGCTGTGGGCGAAAAAGCATTTACAGCCACCCCTGGCTCCTGTGCTATGTTTAACATTGGTTTAGTATACTCGCATTAAATTGTAAGGCTTTTTATTGTCAGGTCTGAACTCAGCGTGATATCTAGATGCTTGTTTCTCTTTTCATTTTAATGTTAACTGAATCATAGTTGAGGGAAAGCTAGAGTATGTTGCATGTGTAGGAAAACACAGTATGTCTGATCTAAATTTAGCTGTGGTTGTTTTCCACACAAATCGCTTCAAGTGTGGTGAGCTTGCTAGGGCAAGCAGTTAAATCAGAGCTCATTTGAGTTGTTTAGGTGTGAGCTGTTAGCTTAAGTGATGTCACACTTCTCTTGTGAATTAATTTTATCTGCTAATTTGTGTGGATGCCAGCTTGAGCCTCTGATGGATCCTGCTGGAGTCTGATCAGAAGTTGTGCGAGACCCGTGCACTGTACTTACAAAAGTGCAACATAGGTCACTTTTCCGCATGTCCTGTCAGGCTGCAGACGGTCGTGTGCATGTAAGCTCATGTTCATACTGCATTTGGCCGCAGACGCCAGAGATTGCGGTCTGTGCATGCATGCAGCAGTGATATTCCCCCACACCAGGAGAGGACAGATTTATTACCACAAACACAATTTCAAGCAATATGGTGAAACGGCTAAATGTATATTGTTAGTCTAGGCGATATTAAGGTAATATGGCACACCATGGCAACTTCAAATCCCAAATCCTTACGACAAAATGAGCCAGACACCCCCACACCCCCCCACCTGGTAAATTTCATCGCCAAGATTTAGTAATAGTGTTCTATTCCGAAATACAGTACAACACGGTATAATAATCTGAACAGTATACATTTTTCGGGGAGTAAAAATTTCATATGCAGTTACCTCTGCCTCTCCTACAACAATTCCTCTCTTTCTTGGTTGACCTTTTGTCTGTGAAAATCACCTACAGCAAACACCTAGTTAGTTTCGTCATACATGCGTGCTTGATCCCGATCTCCACCGGGGGGGGGGAAAAAAACTGGGCTTACATGCGCACCATCCACAGCCGTCTGGCGCAAACCCCTGACGACGGGATTTGTCACCTCACCCTGTGTTTGACCGAGTGCGTGCAGAAAAGTGAAGTATGAATTGGCCTTAAGGGATGGCATTACCCTCCTCTGAGAGGCTCAGCCGGAGCACACCTCGCGGTGCTCTGGCGTATGCGGGAATGTTGTCTTGGCCAATTGTGTCAGTAGAAGGACATGGACCATCGAGTGTGACAGTATAGATTTCCAGCAGTCGTCCTGGTTTATTCAGGGTGTCGCTTGCAGTCTGGCATTGCCGCTGTTCCCTTCCTGTGAAGTAACTTTCTGCATTGTGCTGCAGCGAGTGGGACATTTCGACCCCGTTACCCGAAGTCCTCTGACCCAAGATCAGCTGATTCCCAACCTGGCTATGAAGGAAGTAATAGATGCCTTTATCTTGGAGAACGGCTGGGTTGAGGACTACTGAGCCCAGAAGAGCAGGAGGAGGAGGAGAGTGAAAAAACGAAAACAAAAAAGAACCAGAATAAAATGGAGGAGGAAAACAATCTCACATGGCCTCCTGGATTTGCACTTTAAACACACAGGCAGCAAATCAGACTGCCAGAGGGGGAGCAAAGAGCTTCGACTGTAACCCTCATCAGTACTTCTCCACTTTTACAATCTCCTGTCCCCATCATTGCCTCTGCTTCCAAAGCCCCAACCCCTGCCTAATCCCATATAGCTGGCCTCACCCAGAGTGTTTCATTTACAGATCATCCCATTAAAGTACAAATTTGCTTCTATCACAGTCCTGTTCACACATTAACTGTTCTGCCGTATTGTTTTTTTTTCTCTTTTGTTTCATCTAATGTTCCTTGCTATTCTTAAAAATTAAACCAATCCCTTATCTGTTCCTCTCTGTTGCAGATGGAAATCGTTCTGTTGACCTTAAATACCAAAAAGACTACCACGATATTTTACAATCAATGTTTTTAAAATTTCGCAAACAGCAGGTTACTCTGTCCAAAGGCTTTTTAAACCAGATATTTGCAGTGTATGGAGCATAATATAAAGCCAGTAACACGTCCATTATTGCTTTGAAAGCTGTTCTAGATGGTATGACAATTCAAGGAAGGTTGTAAGCCTTTTCTGGTAATGTAAGAGATATGGTTTGTCCTTATCCTGTTCTTGAAGGAGGTTGCTAAATCTCCACCTAAAATTTCACTCCTTTATGAAACAATCCCTTTTCTCTGGACAATACTGCTGTCGTTGAAGACTTCGAGACCATACCTTTATCATGTGGTTTAGTGTGGCTTTTTTTTTTTGGCATGCAGAATGGGTACTAGAATGCAATTTGTGTCTTTCTGCAGTTTTTTATTTATTTATTTTTTGCATTTTTCCTATGGACCCTGGAGAGGCATAGATGTCTGAGAATGTACATGTGATTGCGCTTGCAGTAAATATGTCTGCCGTATGTGTATCTTTAAGTGCGTTGGGTGTAAGATGAACATGTAGATGATGCTGGCCAGCTTTTCAGCGTGAAAACAGAAAGGCATGCGTTATCTCCTCTGCAGCTTGAGGTGTCATGATGAGGTCTGGCCTACAGGGTCTGCGGATGGGTCAGCTGGTGGTCTGGACTGTTTGGGAGGACCGAGTTATGCGGTGGTCTGGACTGCTTGGTTGGGGGCTGGGTAACACAGCAGTCTGGATTGCTCCATCAGGGCCTGGGTGTCGTGGTGGACTTGACTGCTTAGACGGGGGTCAAGTTCTGTCATGGTCTGGACCTCTAGGCTACATAGTAGTCAGGCCTGGGTCAGGAGGTGGCCTTGACCTCTGACTTAGCAGATGCTCATTGGTGGTCAGGGCTGTTAACGTGTCACTGACCTCCTGCCTTTAGTGGTTAATAGCCAGTAAGAGGTGCTTCAGAACATTTTGAAAATACAATTCAGAATAAATAATTCATAATTGCATAATGGATTGAAATGTCCGTCAGACAAAAAAACATATTGTTCATTAGTTTTGATCCGTGAGTGTTTGTACGTACACACGTGTATCGAATTTCCATCTACACTGAGAAGTATGTCTCCTTTGTGTGTGCATGTATGTGTTTGGAGGTCGTACTGTGCATTGAATACAAATTAAATACCTGCAAGCAACAAGGGACTTGATTAATGGTATATCCACACGTGTCGTCCCTTGTTCCAATTTCCTGTGGGATCAATTTTGAAATGGTTAGTACCTGTAGGGGAACACAATCTGTTTTTGGGGAAGGGATTTTCAGCCATTGTGACTCATCGTGTGACTGTAAATCTTCATCATCACTGTCAACAGTACAACTGTTAAGTGTTAAAGACAATAGTTATGGTATGTTTGTGTAAGATAAAAGTATAAAATTATAAAAGTATAATTATATCCTGCTAAAAGTCACATGTTTGGCTGGTAGATTTAATATTTTTCCAGTGAGAAGATCTGACTTTTAAAGGGGCTGATATGATGTAAATACTGTGTTCAGAACTTGCAGCGTTTTTTTTTAAGGTGTCAATGTTATAAAAATCGTTTGGATTTTCTTGGACCGTCTGTACTATGCAATTCAGTACAAAGGGAGGCTGATAAAATTGTTTTAGTATGACTTGGTTGTGTCTTGCCTGAGCATTCGGTAGAAGGTAGGGAAGGACTGGTGATTAACGTCTCATTCATTCAGATTATAAAACCGGGACACACTATAAGTAAATCATGCCAGTTAAAAGCTGTAAAGATGCTTTTTACTCACAGGACTGAATGTAAGACACTATTAAATTCGTATGAATTTGATTGCAGCATTGTGAAATTACTATAACAAAATTCTTAACTTTAATACATTGAAAAATCTGAAATCTAAGTTACACATATTTTTTCTATTTCGCTGAAAGGATCTTGAGTCTTGTCTCACAGCTCCATCTTGGAATTTGGTTATGCCATGTTTTTTTATTTTTTATAAAGTCCATACCTTGTTGCCTCTCTGGGCTTATGTCTGAGTCTCTGTTTATATATGAGGTTGTGAGGAATTATGTATGTGTATATGCTTGTGTTTTGGACAAAATGATAGCTGTGACATTACAGTTCATTTTCTCTGACAGCTGGATTTGTTCTTGCCTGTATGGATTTCAGGTCGGATATCTGTGGATTTCTTGACGCTTGACATTGTACCATTCCACAATTGATTCCTAGTGAAAATAATTCATTTTTGTGATTTGCAGATGTTTTCCCTTTAATGCACCGGTCCTGGAGAGCTACTATCCAGTAGGTTTTCTGTCCCACTTGGCTTCTGATGAGCCACACCTGTTCCTGGTATTTACCTGAGTACAGGTGTGGCTCATCAGAAGCCGGGAATGATAGAAAACCTACTGGACAGTAGCTCTCCAGGACCGGAGTTGGAGACCCCTGCTTTAATGTAATGATTAATACAAAAAAGTAAATGAAGACCAAAATTTGCAAAATTGGGCATTTTCATAAACTTTGATATGCTATAAGCAAATCCTGGGGTCACAGTTTTTTATGTGATTCACCCAGAGTTGGTCAGCTATGGGATCGCCTTACCTGGGCAATAGTTAAAGCCAATTCATTAATGCTAATTTGGCTGTTCAGTTTCACTGCATTTCAATTGTGCTCTGCTCTTTGGAGGACATATAAAATTAATATGCTGTTCTCCTTTTTCCTTGATTTACTTCTAACTGTGTATATTCAAAATATTAAATGTAAGTATCCTTAGCAAATGGGGGGGGGGGGACACTCATGCAGTTTTGAATTGGATATTGACAAAAGTCGTCCTGTAAACTTCCCATTTCTTGAAGAAAACTTCTCTCCTTCGTGGTCCTTTGCTGGTTTACGCGGAAGCTGGATCTACTGATGTGACCTAAAGTTATGTCTGCTTTCTGCTCATGTGGAGAAGATGCCAAACAAAGCTGCTGGGACTGAATTGCATTCTGTGGATCTGATTTGGCTCATCCTACAGTGGCACTTTCTCTGAGAGCAATCTTTGGAACTCCTTACCTGTGTGAATGGAAGCTGAAACTTCCTTGACTGTATCCTGTATATTAGTTGCATTTAGGACCCTGATGACACGTGGATAATCCCTGCTGACTTTGATCCTGGGTAGCTCCTTACTGCGATGTAAATCTCAGAATGACGATACCTTATTTACCAACGGGCCTCTTGGCAGTTACCTGGTTTGCAAATGGATTAGTCGTGTGACTAATCTATGGAGCTGGTGGTCTTATTGTGATGCCAGCAACCCTGTGTGTGATGGAGCACTTCTGTAGTCCTTGGGACAGTTCTACTGTGGCGATAATGTTGGGTTCACTCTGAATGTTGCACAGCACAATGATACAGATACATGTGTCATGCTGTAATACAGTGTTAATATGTAATACTTATGGTGAGTTAATAAATAATTGACAAATAAGAGGAGTCTTTACCTGCTTGAGGGTGTTTGCTGTTAATCTTGAAGTAAATGTTACTGAAAAACCGGGAAAGATTATTTGTAAATCAGTGTTTAAATGTTTTCACAATTTTGCAGTAGGAATGACTGTCATATTAAATCATTTCATTTGGTTGAGTATAGTCTCTTTGGGCTGCATTGCCCTTTCTGCTTCCCTCTCCGTCCAATCAGTATTGATCAGAACTTTTCTGATTGGTTCTTTCTCTGCTTCAGGGCTGTGGGTTGGATGCTAACCCCAGCTTTGTGTGTGCTGGTGTAGTAATGTTATTTGTGGGCTTAACATTTCGAGCCATTCATAAAAATAATCCAAAGTAGAAACCTTTTTAAATGTTTGCCTAAAAGTGGTCTCTAACCATTATATAATCTGCTGGAATAATTTGTCAAAACACATATTTGTGGAAACTTTATATAGTATTTGTGAATCACATAAAAGTGTGGTTTGAAAACAATTTTACTTTCCGTTTTTTGTAATGGAAAAAATTGGTTTGGTCTGATCTTTTAGTGCCAATCAGATAAACTCGCAATCTTTCCAAAAGCAACACCATACAACAGAAAAAGCAGCAGCAACTTTTAGTTTTCGAGCAGATTTTTGTTAAATATTCCTGAAATATCGGAGAGGTAATAAATCTGGTTTAACTCCAGCAGACACAGAAAGATGCAGCAAGTGGATTGTGATGATCAGACTGGAAAATCGGCAGCCCACTGAAGACATGCATTTGTGTATTATTTATATGTATGATTTATTATGATCAAATTTTGATTTGCAGTTAGTTCAATTTGTCTCCCCATGTTCTGAACCTGATTAAGTGCAATTCTAAGGGAATTGTAAGTGAAAATGGAGATTAATATCATTTGATATGAAAAAAAAAAATTATGAAAACGTATTGTATCATATCGGCCATCCCTAGCCTGTTATCAAAATTGATTTACACAGAATTCTTTTACATCCTGTCACTAGACATTACAGCATTCGTAGGTTAAGGATAAAACTCTCACCTTTGATATGATTAGGAAGCAATCTTTGCCAGGAATTTCCCATACATCAGTCCTGTGTACATGACCAGCCAGAAAATACCTGTGTGCATCTAAACCTTTATAAACTTTAAACTGTGCACGCCTGCATCGAGATGTGTGAACTAGACAGTTGCCGATGTCATAATACTTCAGGTCGCGATGTTGCGCAGCTGCAACACTGCAGAGGTATGAAAAGCTGTAACAAGTATGGATCACATATGCCAAACTTGAGTTTCTCTTCATTTTTAGTGTTACTTGAGATTTACAAGTCATCTAAAACACTAGTTAAAGGAAGATCACCATCAACCGCAGGTGTGTCACTATTGCAATTGATTTTTTTTAACAGACAAAAAGGTGGGTTAGGGCCTTCGATCAATCATCTTGTCCCTGGGCACGAGCAAGACGCGGGGCAGGCCTGTCTTTGCACTGTGGCAGTATCGTAGCCAATGAGGTTTAACTCATTGCTAGTTGAAAACTTAACCCAATACCCATTTGGCTTTGGCAGTTTTTGATGGTCTCTTTTGAGGGGGAGGGACCATGTGTTTATTTAAGAAGCAGTGCCCATGTTTGGGAAAAAAATGCTGGTTTAATTCTCAGTGGAGTGATTTTACCATCAGGCCCTTCAGCAAGGTCCTTAACCCCCAGTTGCTCCAGGGACTGGCTGAGACTGCTTTCTCAACTGGTACCAACTGGGTAAAAGTGTCTACTGAGTAGGCCTAAATATTGTAGGTATCAGCATGCTGCCAACAAACCCAGCACCAGAGATCTGAAGACAGCAGACTCTTAGATACATTTGATGTGCATATCAGCTCTTAAGTTTTGAAATGCAACAAGTAGGACATAAAAGTGTATAATTGCTTTTACTTCTTGTTTTTCGGAACATGTTCACTTTTACCCCTACGGCTCATCCCATCAGATGGTGTCGTCGGTGTCTCTCATGAAGGACTTGTTACGGAGAGGCTTGCTGTAAACCTTGGAGCATAACATCTGGTGTACTTATGTTATTCTGGCTCACATCAATTTTCACTTTTTTTAATTTAAATCCATAAAGACCAAATAGAAGATGTTCTGGATTTCATTCCAAGCGTAACACTTTACTTGACGGGGCACAAATATAGTATTATGCTATTACGTATGTATTAACCATAAAGTAAGTCTTAGTTACTGATCTCATGTTAATATATCATTATTGAACCGTGACGCATCTTTTATCTCAAGCAATTACTATTTTTCTTATTATATCTGTTAATTCTGTAAAACCCTTGTTAACTGAAGGAACACGTCATGAATAACAAGTTAAATACTGGTCTCATGTTTGTTCATCATTAATGAATAGTGATGCATCTTTTATCTGAAGTAGCTACTGTATTTGTTCATGATTTCTACTTCAGTAGTAACGGAGTAAAGTATTTGTGCCCAGTCAAGTAAAGTGTTACCATTCCAAATTTAATATGGTAGTGGTAAATGTAGCAATCATACAAAGTGAAATTTTACTCATTTGCATGCATTTTCACCAAAATCCTTCAGTATTTTTAAATGGAGCTGTTTAAATAATATTTTGCTGGTACTGGTTTCCAGATTTTGATGGTGACATGCTGGCCTTGGATAAACAAAGGCTGACATGTGACGTCTGTGAATCGCGCCCCTCTGTGATGCATGCACAGAGGAGCGTTCTGCCGCACTAAGCCTATACACACGGGCTCTTTGTGTACGATCATGCAGGAAAAGTGATGTAATGCTTGGTACAAGGAGGGAAGGGAGTGAAACCTAAATCTCCGAACAACAGCAGACGGACAGTCACTGCATCCACACTCAGCTACCTGGCAGATCCCAGCCTCAGGATGGTAGGTGGACATTGTTCTTCGTTTTCAACTCTTTCAGCTCTTGCGCTAATATACTGCACTGAGAATCTGTTCTACAAAATGTTATGCTGTGATTGGCCAAAATTGGCCTGGTTCTTATAGCATAGTTTGATTCGTGAAGTCTGTAGAAGTCAGTTTCTTGGTGTCATGGAACCAAGGCCACGAAAGAATGTTCTGGCATCATTGCTTGCAGCCCAAAAGCCTCAGTTTATTTAAGCTATGAATTTATGGGCATTCTGTTGCCCAAAGGATTATTTATTTACTCAGATTTCTGTGTTCATGTTTTCAGTGTTTTAATGTAGTCATTTTTAGGTAATTGTCAAGGAATGGATGTTCTGGAATCATTGCATGCGGTCCAGAAACAACATTTTATTTAACAAATGAGTTAACAGGAGCACTGTTGCTACCAAGGATAATTCATTTACTTGAGTTCCTGTACTTTTAGGTATGTAGAATAGGAAGAACGTCCTTATTTCATTGCATACAGCCCATAATTTTTTAAAAGAGAGGCATTCTGTTGCTACCCAGGACTATTAATTTCCTTGGATTTCTGTGCTTGTTTGAATTATGATTCATTTTTAGGTATTCAGTATAGCGTGGACCGTTTGCAGATATTCTTTGTTTCTGCAGTTTCCACACAGGCAACTGGGGGTCGTTGTGGCAGCCGTCCTGTTCTTCGGTCTTTCGTCGGCCTCTGAAGGTTGTCGCGCACCTCAATGTATATTTTTCAGCTATCATGATCAGTGTTAATTAGAGAACTCATTTTCTGTCCACCTAAATATTTGATAAAAGGTTTATCTGGCTATAAAAAATAATGTGAACCATTTATAGAATAATAAGACCTTGTTCCTTTATCACGTCCCCCCTCAGGATTAGGTGGAAAAACCCTTCTGTTTCCCTACGAGACCGACTACAGCTATGTCAAACTAGTGCCCCAGAAACCCTTGCAGCTGCAAGCCTTCACGCTGTGCATGACGCTGGCCACAGAGCTGGATGGCGAGCGGGAGATCATCCTCTTCGCCTATCGCACCAAGGACTTTGACGAGCTGAACGTGTGGCGTGAGAAGGACGGCCGTCTGTCCTTCTACCTCAGTGGGGACGGCGTGTTCTTTAACATGCCCCCACTCAGCACCTTCAAGACGAACGTGTGCGTCACCTGGAATTCCACCACAGGCCTGTCTGCGTTTTGGATGGATGGGAAGAGAAGTGCGCGGCAGGTGTACAAACCAGGGCATACAATTAGTGCCCAAGGCACCGTGATTCTGGGTCAGGACCCTGACGCCTTCCTGGGAGAGTACGAAGCCTATCAGAGTTTCATCGGTGAAATTTCAAATGTTAATATGTGGGACTATGTCCTCTCTGACAGCGATATCCAGGCCTTGCACTGTGATTGCTCTATCCCTAAAGGAAATATTTTTGACTGGAATACTGTTCAATATGAAATTAACGGGAATGTCTTAATCATACCTGATGGCCAGAGTAATACAGTACCCAACATGGGGTTGTGCTAGAAATGTTCACAATATTGACATTTACAGCAAATGTACTCAGTGTTTCAAAATGGCATGCTTCACACATGAAAACAATGTATAAATATGTAAATGATTAAATGTTAACACAAGAGTAACAATTAAACATCAGTAATTAATCATTCTTGAGTCGCTGATCATACTGATTGACAGGCACTGTGCTCCAGATTAGAGTCAGACTAGACTAATAGTAGTCAGACTAGAGTAATATGTACATTTAGCAAAATAGGACACACTAGAGGTGATGTCCCTGGAGCTGGGGGAACGTTTCATGTGGAGGAGGAGTTAAAGGGTTGAGCAGCAGAGTAGAGATGCAGCCTGCAGCCCAGATGAATTTGCAGTGTAGGATCATAGCTGTGTGATGATTTTAATTCTTTATGTGAAATACCCAGCTGTCAGCCAGGGGTGGATCTACTATGGTGGCATGTGCCACTCTAAAATAATCTCTTGCTCCCCCTAGTGCCACTCTAGTTTTCCATCCATCCATCTTCTGTAACTACTTATCCCATTCAGGATTGTGGGGGGTCTCGAAAGCTATGGGTGCCACACAAGAAACAACCCAAGAGGGGGCGCCAACCCATCACGGAGCACACTCACACACTCTTCACTCACACACCAGTGGGGAATTTGGTAACTCCAATTAACCTCAACATGTTTTTGGACTGTGGGGGGGAAGCTGGAGTACTTGGAGAAAATCCCATTGAGACACGGGGAGAACATGCAGACTCCACACATGGAGCCATGGCGACTTGAACCCTGGTCCCATAGTTGTGATGCAACAGTGCGAACCACTGCACCACCATGCTGCCCCTCAGTCTAATTTTGTATATGAAAATACAGTGGTACCTCAGTTCTCGAACTCATTAGAACTCGAATTTCTTAAAAGTCGAACCAACCAGTTCGAAAAAAATTACCTAGAACTCGATCTGAATCTCAGAAGTCGAACCGTGAACACCAACCTAAGATAACGCGTGGGGAAATGAGTCACGCAGCACGTCTCTCAGCGGAAACAAAGGGTAACGCTTCAGTCTCAGCCTTGCATTCCCTGTGATAGCATCGTGTATGTTTACACTAGCTGAATACATATATTTAGACAGTAAAAATACATTTAGAGAATGATAGACAGTAACAGTAATTATTATTATATAATAACATACATTTAAAAATAAAGATTTCTTATTAATTATTTTAATATTGATAAACCATTAATACATTAAATTATAATAATATTGTTGTGCCAAGCGGGGACAGAACGGAGACAAAAGCGCAGACGTCAGGGTGTCTGGGAATACTGGGTTTAATTACAGGTAAGGCAGGCAAAACGCAGATGGACAATACAATAACCGGACTGAGGAAACAAACTGAAACACGGACTCAATACAGAGGACTAATGACAACAACCAGAAACAGCTGATCAGGCGGGGATTACACACTGGGTTAACGAGGGGGCGTGGCACACAGAAGGAGCGTACGATCGGGGCAGAACACATTGTTTGGATACATTTATT